GTCGGTGTCTGATGGCGTTTCTGCTGCGTTGTAAAAGTTCCAGATGAAAAGGCATCGTGTAACCCTTGTGCTGCAATTTCTACGATGCTTGTAACACATGGGTTACCCCATATGTTACAATTTCTACAATTTTTGTAGATTTTTGCGTATTGTCATCTTTAAATCAAAGACACAGCATAAAAAGTGTGTGATATGAAATATTCCAATTCATGTTTTATTTATATAGATTTATATTTATGTTTTGGTCATAGCACAATACCGCTTTTATTGTCCATAGAGGGCAAAAATACAAAGAAAAAAATAAGAACTATATGTGTATGTATAGCACTGATGCCACTGAACATGTCGAGTGGTTGAAAGTGAAATAAATATTCAGGAATAATACTTTTACAATTTTTGTAAAATTGTATGTTGCGTTATATTAACTTATTTAGATCGACTGCAGCACATGGGTTAAACACTGATTAGTGTGAGTGCGTCTGTTAGGTGGATGTCCTACCTTGTGGCAATGGGTCCTGCGGGCGATGGTGTTTATGCTTGTGCTTGCTCTTCTTCTTTGGCGGCTGTATGTGCATCAGTCGGTACTGTTCTGGTAGCTGGGAAAGAAACAAACACACAGATCCATATGCCCTGTAATTTTTTATTTTTAAAGCATGATGACACACACGCACACGCACACGCGCGCGCGCACGCGCACACACACACACACACACACACACACACACACACACACACAGGTCACCAGCCTGTTGGGAGGGCACACAAACGACCATTCATACTCACATTCACACCTACGGGTTATATTTCAATGAACCTGACATACATGATTTAAGAATGTAAGAGGCAGCCGCCCGAGTACCTGGAGAAAACCCACGCAAGCACAGGGAAAACATAGTTCTGCTACATAAAGTTAGTAAATATGAGCAGAAGCAAAGCAGCCTCCATATTTTTGCACAAACGTAGGTATTAATCAAGATAAATGTAATTTTGAAAATATTTATTTTGCAGATTTCAAAATCAAAACTCTACTACTATATTGTGAAATCAAATCACATTTGTAAGATATGCATTCAAAACACTCAGTATGCATGTATCCATTTTAACTAATTCACTCCCAAAAACGTTTTTAAACGTCTTTTCAGACTTGGTCCACAATTGGCTGGTACTGAATTAGTTAACAGCTTTAATCTTCTAGACCAGGGGTCCCCAACCTTTTTTGCCCCACGGACCGGTTTATGTCAGACAATATTTTCAGGGACCGGCATTTAAGGTGTGGCGGAAATAATACAACAAAATAATATGGTATGAGCTGCATGAAAACTGTGGTGTTTTCGAAATATAATAATAAACACAAGGAGCGTCTAATCTGGCCGCAACACTCTGATCGCTATGGTAATGTTTAATGCCTTCAAAATACGATACAACACAAATTCAAAGTGCATGAAAATGACCACTCACCACAGCCCCGAGCTTGATTTTCTGCACCCAGACGGTCCCATCTCGGGGTAATAGGAGAGACAATGACACCGCAAGTGTGTGGTTTATGTCCAGTCTACTTCGTAATTTTGTTTTCGTCGCCGTTGCTGCATAATCCCCCCGCCTCACACAGGTAGGATGTCGGAAATAGCAAAAGTGCTATTGTGGCGATCTCAGAGTATTCAGACATAACTTTAATCCAGTTGTCTCGAACGTACTTTTAAGGCCGCCGTCATTTGCGATCTCCAGCAGTTTTTTTACTCATTTTGCGAGCTCTGGTGTTTTGTTTTTAAGCGGAATCGGTCACGTGACGGGGGAGGCCCGGCGGTTGGGGACCCCTGTTCTAGACCACTCCTGCAATATAACTTGTGGGACAGCGCAACATTTCCCGTTTAACTGTGTAACATTATTTTGTATTCATTTTCTCTCCAGACACTTATTAAATTGCCTGCGAGTTTGCTGATCAATACGCTCTGCATTAACACCATTTCAGCGCGAGCTCTGTGAAGTGTACTCAGTCACCCAGGCACTTTTAATTCCGGTCTTTCACAATGGCATTCCATTATGTTACCAATTATCATGGCTTCTCCGGGTTTCCCCTCTGTTAATTACTCCTCGTGATCTCTTCACGAAAACGATATTTGTAAGAAATGTCGAATATTCACCGCCATGGAGGCGAGATGATGGAAGGCTGTGACTGCTGGGTTATCAACGAAACCGCAACGTGTTTTGCAGGCAGTCATAACCAGCTGAAGCTTGCTGCTAAACTTTCTATGGCTAGGTGCAGCCGCGTCTCGCCTCGACCTGCCGACTACGCTGCCGCAGGTGACATGAGCAGTCCATCTAATATTTTTGGGACCTCTCTGATGTTCAGTTGTTGGAATCACTTTTAAAAAATGTATTCTTTGTGTTTTGGTGAGACTCAAAATAAAAACTGCTATGCTTGTATAGTTTGAAGGCGTACCCAGTATGCTTTGAGGGCATAGTTTTTTTTTCTTGTAAATAGTTAATAATAACGGGTTTCTTGTCGTTAATTTATTCTTCTCCAACAAAGTAGTATTTGTTATTTGTATTCACCTACCTCGCTATTTATTCACTGCAATTGAGGCATAGATTTAATTTTGCATTGTAGACTTGTTATGCAGGTGACCATGAATTGTGATTCACTTCACTAAAGTGCTGTTCAGTCTGCCACCTGGTGGCAACGGCGCGGCATAAGACTGATAAGTGAAAGCTTTTGCTCATCAAATCAAGCTTATTTGACGTATTAATCACATGCAGTTTGCCGCAAATGACAAATGGCAACAACTTGGTCGTCTTTGTGATCTGCATCGTGATATGGCCCAGCTCGAGCTGTGTCTCAACAGTTTCATCCAGGGGTGTCTCAAGAGAGCATTGCACATGATCGTTACCGGCCCAGTGTGTAATCTGAAGCCTGTTAGCAAAGCGCCGGTGAGCGGACTGAAGGAGTTTCCAGACACTGGTGGCTTATCGATCAGGGATCGCAGTGAGCTGCCATCTTGATTCCCGGGACAGTCGATCATACCTATGACAAAGAGGAAGAGAGAGACACGTTGGCATTCCATCGGGCTATCACAAACAAATATTTTGCTAATCGAGTAGTCACCAATAGTAGTCGTGATTAGTCAATTTATCAGATCATAAGTAAATTGCAGCACATTGCACCAGCAAGTAGCTGCTCTCATATGAGTTTAATTCGCTTGGCAGCTTGAATTAGTTCAAGTATTTGCAAAATAAAAATGAAGACAATGAAGATGATAGTACATTTGACTTTGAGGAAACGTTGCAGCTTGTACCTGCACTCTTGACGTGCTTGGCATTAAAATTTTAGCTGTAAATATTTAGTAGGGTACATTTTAAAATGGAACCAAAAACTATCCACTTTGCAGAGTGGCAATGGGAATAATATGACATTATCTATAAATATGAAAACGAAATACTTGGAAATATTTGTCACTCTTCTCAGGCATCAAGCATTTTGAAGTGTAAAATATAACAGAGACCCTCCGGACTGTTGAACAGCTGAAGCTGTACATTCGAATTCGGTATGTACATCTGGCATGTCCAGTCCCTGTTCTACATCTTCCTCCCACCTTCCAAAGCATGCATGCTATGTTAACTGAAGATTTGAAATTGACAACAGGAGCGAAAGTAAATGTGTGAATGGTTGTTGAGCTACACGAGCCCTGCATTCGGTTCACGACTAGTGTTGGGTGTACCTCACTTCTGGTCCAAAGTCACCTGGGATAGGCTCAGCTCAACTGTGACCGTAATGAGGTCAAGCATGACAGAAAATGGATGGATGTCTCATTGGATTTATGGAGAATACTCCATCCATATATGAGCCCGGTTGGACTGAAATGTAGGGTTGCAGAGTATATTGGTACTACAAATTACTGTGATAACTGTTGTCAAAATAAAACAATACTTTATATTTTTAGTAACAATACTTTTACCAATACTTTATATTTTTAGTACCAATACTTTTACCTGCTTTCATCATATAGCCTCCGTGGCAGTGTTTTGCAATAGGACACGTTTAATCCAAATAGACGTAATGGGTCAAACCAACAGGAAGAATAAACGGGCAATCTGCTAAAAGGTGAATATCCCCAACTTTTGGTGACTAGCGTTAGCATCAAGCGTCTATGGCCCACCTGGTAATTCCGGTAGAAAGTTGCTGAGCTTCTCCTTCACCTTTTTCCCACAGAATTTGTTGTAGGCGTGTTCCAGGTTGTAGTACGTGATGAGGTTGGTATTCCCAGTTAACTCGTTCCCAACTAAACACAAGTGGTCCATATTGACATGCACACATTACTCTTTCAAAATTGTTTTGCACATTATCACATAATAAACACTATTTGCGTCTGGAGACGCAAACTATTATATGTTGAAACGGAGAATACAAACATGAAAAATGTAGTCTAAAGGCAAATGTAGCACTTGTTCGTAAGAAGCGCTAATTTGCTTGGTTGGTGTTAGCATTGTTTACAAACTACTTTAGTTAACGCGTCGGTTATTTTTATCGCCTCGCCAAACGCAGAGCACACTGTTCAATCAAGCAAAGATAGTGCAATGATATATTACCGGGCAGTTCTCGTAAAAGATAGAAGGGTTCATTCATAGCTCCAGACTTTCGCAGCGGAGGCCCTTCATCCCCGAGCTGTGGTGGCATTTGCCCCACCACAGAGACTTGATTTTGCGGGAGCGGCGGCGGAGGTTTCCCAGGTCCGAATCCGAGGGAAGATGAACCCGGAGGTCCCTGAGTTTCATTTTGACCGAATAAAGTGGAGAACATTTCCGTCATACTTGTCACTGTTGTTGTAATTATCCAGCTGTAAACGGGTTACGGGTTTACAGAAAACGTTGATGTTGCCCATTGAAATATTATCTGGTCTTTGTGACGTTCTCACGTAATGCCTTGAGTAAACTGGCAGCATACCGTAATACTTGGTCAGTGTGCGCATACGGTTATAGAATTCAGGCTTCAGAAACCACAAAACCATGTTTTCCCATGAGTTTTATTTTATTGAAAAAAAAAAGAAAATGTATATCGTTAAATCAGTTAATTCAGCCAATCATTTTGAAGATTATACATCAAACACATCTGCAGGGCATAATGAAGATGCCAGACTTTCGATTTTGGTAGCTGATGCCTGCAAATACAGAAAAAACACACACAAATAATAGTCAATAAAAATAGAAAAAAAAAAAGCATAGCATCGCTCATTTCCACACACTCCCTTATAAAAAGAAAAGAGTACGAGTGAGGGTAGCTAGCTGTGAATGTGGCAAAGTGCAGATTATTTTTTTCTAGGCTTTATATCTTGTTCAAGCCATTGCTTAAATTTATTGTATTTCTGTATGAGATTTGTATTGGCTCGGTTGGGTAAATGTCACTGAGCTTTGGGTGGCCCAACACAGTCACCTAAGCGCCTGGGTCACTGTTAACATAAAACCCTGCTTGCACATAAATGAATTGATTCCCAACCTGGGTGTTGTGGTACCCTCATGTATGCAGAAGCTAAGACCTGAAAATGCTAACCACCCGGCTACGTGCTGGCCCTAATTGCATAATGTTAAGTACAAAAAAAACAATCAAAAGCAATTTCCAGAGTGTTGCAATGTTTAAGTCATATTAAATAAACATTTTGCCACTTTTCTTTCTGACCTCCCACTCGGCAGCAGCTGTTGAAATCTGATGTTCGGCCTGAGCAATCCTCTCCCTGCCAGCCTGAACCTTCAGTGCAAGGGCAGCATTCTCAGCTTGAATCTTTCTGAGCTCATGTCGCAAATAAGCCTCCTGCTTTTGATAGAAGGGAATTATAAAGCTGCTGAAGTCTTGTTCCGGAACCCCCGAGGGGCGCCTAAGGAAAGAGGTGAATTGAGATTTGGACAATTATTGCATTTTCATAACACAGTTGGATAAATAGTCAATAATTTATGGTAAATGTACTACATTGTACCAAGCAATAAGACACTGAAGTGGGCAACACAAAAATGTTGAAGACAGAATCCTATTTGCCTCAAAAACAATCGTAATGAGTCAATATTACAAGAAAAGGAGCAAATAGCAGCTTGAATCTGTGTACTTGTGTACCAACCATGCAGGATCTGGACTGTTTTCAGCAGCACTTTCCAGTTTGTCCAGCTCATTGAGTTTGGATTCGAGACTTGCTTCTTCATTCAGTCTTCTGATATCATCCTTAACAGGGAAAGAAAGACTCAGGTCATTATGTCTACGAACAATACACCACAATAAATAAAATGGAAAAGCCCATGCATACCACTTGGCACAGTGTGTTTGAACATTAACACTGCACTTACATAGAAACAAAACTGAACTGTATTTAAAAAATAAAGTGGCATACATATACAAGTAAAACAATTTAATGTACTGGATTTTTGAATAAAGTTTAAACAGGTTGGAAGAATAGCGACAAGTTTCATTCGGACATGTTTGATTGTGTTTCATGTTTTGAATGTTTTTTTGCTTTGACTTGGGGACATTTTTTTTTTGCTTTGACTTGCAACCGCAAACTTGGGATACAAGTACTATATAGTGGGAGTGAACTCATTCCAACTCACCCTACTATAAGCAGGAGTTTGGCAAATACTGAATAATTCATCATCATTTAAAAAAAAAAAAAAGTTTTGTGCTGTTTAATGCCACTCGCAGATTAAGTTTACAGTCAAACTAAACGTAGAACAAAGAGAATTACACTTACACATTCTCTATTTAAAACAACATGCAAACAAACAATGCAAAACATCACTGACATGCTAATGGTTAGCATCGATAACTGCGGTTTCAGAAGCAAGTGGATGGATGAATGGAGGGGCATTTGAACACAAACGATGGAGCACAACATCTAGACACATAACAGTAGTCACAGTCACTGGATGATACCAGCCTTAGTTCCAAGTACCCATTACTCCGGACGGCAGACAATACCAATGGGTGACAGAATGGTTTTCTAAGTGAACTGTGTCTATTTCATTCCTCTCATTTGCCTATTAAGATCCAATTTCTCTAAGTATGCACTGTATATGTTTGTCTGGTTTTTATTCACGCTTAGGGTGCATTGTGTGTTTTTATGTAAATGTATGTTTGATAACTTCATTTCTGCCTCGCTGAGAGAGCGCTCGTCTTGTTTCAATTCCACCCGCTTCTCATATTTCGATTAAGATGCAATTCCTATATGTATGTGTATAAGGTTTATATCAATGCTTAGATAGCATTGTTCGTGTATTTGTACCAACAATGACATGTTTATCTGTTAACTTAAATCTCCTCAAGGTCTGAATCGGTGCTTCTCTCTTTTCAGTTCCATGAAGGTTGATCCTCTCATACAGTATTCCCAATAAGATGCAATTTCGAGAAGTATATGTATGTTATAGGGTCTATATATGCTTTGTACGTAATGTATGCTTACCTTTATAGCTCTCTGCAACTCATCTACAAACTGCTTATGAATGTTTTCCATCCTTTGACGGTTCATCTTGTAGAATTGATGGAACATGCTGGAAAACTTGTCGAAACTGTTTTACAGTAAGAGAACAAGTGTTACAATCATATTTCCATAGAGTATGAGAATACGCACAGCTTTTAAAGTTCCACCACATTGAATGATTCAGCATAGTTCATTTTACATATTAACATGGCTGACCAGGGGGCACGGTGCTCTACCGGTTAGCACATTCGTCTCACAGTGTTGGACAGAGGTACATGGTTCAATTCCGGCACCGGCCTTTCTGTGTGGAGTTTGCATGTTCTCACTGTCCTTGTGTGGGTTTTCTCCAGGTACCCTGTTTTTCTCCCACATTCCAAAAACATGTGAGGCTGGTTAAAGGAACACTCTATATTGTCCATAGGTGTGAGTGTGAGCTCGAATAGTTGTTCGTCTTTGTGTGCCCTGTGATTGGCTGGCAACCAGTTCAGGGAGGACCCCGCCTACTGCCTGGTGACAAGTGGGAAGTCTCCAGCATGCCTGCCACCCTTGTGAGGATAAGCGGATAAGAAAATGGATGGATAGACATGGCAGGCCGTGTATCTGGAGGCATCCCAACCAGATGCCCATGCTACCTCATCCAGCTCAGCTCTGAGTCACTCCCGGATGACCGAGCTTCTCACCTTATCTCCAAGTGAGTATGTGTGGAGGCAAAGTCCGACTATTCTAGTCGGAACTCCTCTGCTTCTCACACCAGCTAAAGCTCCTTCCCTGCTTGAGAGGTGATATTCCAAGTCCCGAGAGCTAGCTTCTGGAGATCAAACCGCCAAGGTCCTCACCTTTGGCCTGCACCCAGCTCACAAAGCATCGGACCCCTTTGGCCCCTCACACAGGTGGTGAGCCCATGGGAAGGAGGACCCACGTTGCCTCTTTGGGCTGTCACATGAGTGTACCCCGGCCACCAAGCGCTCGCCAGCGAGCCCCACCTTCAGGCCTGGCTCCAGAGGGTGGCCCTGGTGACCCGCGTATGGGCAAGGAAAAACCTTTATCAAATATTTTAGTCATAATATGGAGTCTTTTGAGCAATTCTTTGTCTGGTCCCCTGGATCTGTTTGCCATGAGTGACCCTATCAGGAGCATAAATAAAGCCCCAGACAATTTAGCTCCAAGTATCATTGGGACACACAAACCCCCTCCACCACGGAAAGGTGACGGCTCACGCAGGCGTAGCATAACCACATCACTACATACTATATAAACACAGACTGCATTTATCATATACAAATCCGAATCCAGAGCGGTATAATAATCTCTATGTTATTAAAATCAAATAATAACAGCTCACCTAGCGAAGTGCATAAACTCTTCGAGGCTTTTGTCAATGACTTCATTGTACAATTTCAACCTCTTGCCTCGAGGTTCGTCATTTGAGGATGGTTCACGAATTGCTTCTGATTTTACACCCTGTGATGAAACCTCCTTCGCGGATTCATCAGTGCGGCGTTGTGTTGCAGAATTTTCATTTGACAGCTTTTCTGTTGGTACTGCGACGTCCTCCATTTCTCCTCCTTTTTACATTTTACAATACGCGCCTAAACTACGGTACGCTACAAAGCCCAGAACACACGATTCCCTTTTGCTTCGCGCATGCGCGGGGGCGACACGGAAGCAGCACTGCGTCACTTCCTTGAGTTGACTTTCGGCATCTGCTGTATAGCTCCTTTTGGCCAAAATGGGTTTGATCACCGGAGTCTGCGCTTTCTTATACCACCTGCCCCAGATTTACAAATGGCTGCTGAAACCCTATTACATCACCTCCTTCTTCATGACTATCGCCTTCTTAGTTGTCCGAAAGACTCCTGGTTTGTGCGAGCACCTGGCGACGCAGCGTGAAGACGGCAACTCATGCGACTTCGACTGGGTAAGCACCACTCGGTCGGGTCGTGTAACGCAGGGGTCCCCAACCTTTTTTGCCCCACGGACCGGTTTAAGTCAGACATTATTTTCAGGGACCGGCATTTAAGGTGTGGCGGAATTAATACAACAAAATAATATGGTATGAGCTGCATGAAAACTGTGGTGTTTTCGAAATACAATAATAAACACAAGGAGCGTCTAATCTGGTCACAACACTCTTATCGCTATGGCAATGTTTAATGCCTTCAAAATACGATACAACACAAATTCAAAGTGCATGAAAATGACGACTCACCACAGCCCCGAGCTTGATTTTCTGCAATCAGACAGTCCCATCTCGGGGTAATAGGAGACAATGACACCTCAAGTGTGTGGTTTATGTCCAGTCTACTTCGTAATTTTGTTTTAGTCGCTGTTGCTGCATAAACTCCCCACCTCACACAGGTAGGATGTCCGAAATAACAACAGTGCTATTGTGGCGATCTCAGAGTATTCAGCCATAACTTTGATCCAGTTGTTTCGAACGTACTATTAAGGCCGAAGTCATTTGCGATCTCCAAGCAGCTTTTTTTTACTCATTTTGCGGACTTCAGCGTTTTGTTTATGAAGCGTAATTAATGCAGGTTCTTGCTGTGCGGCCGGCCCCCAAATGCCCTGCGGACCGGTACCGGTCCGCGGACCGGCGGTTGGGGACCCCCGGTGTAACGCACCTAAATAAATATCGAGGTGTCTTGTTACTTTCCAAGAGCTTCGCGTACATTCTATGTTTGCCCGTTTTCTTATATAGAGAGAAGTGGAGATTCTCATGTTCCTCAGTGCCATAGTGATGATGAAAAACAGAAGAGCAAGTAAGTGTCATGACCCTCCCTACCCCGCCCCTGCACAGATATGTCACCCCCCCACCAACAATTCATTAGTTACATTTGATCAGATTGCAAACAAAACAATTGCCCCAATATTTAGGATTTTATGGCCATCAACTATTTTTCTCTCCATTAAAAAAAGCTGATCTTCACCAAAATCTACGTGGACATCTCCACCTATATTCACATCAATCTCTGAAAATATCAAAACGATTGCACCAATATTTTGGATTTTATGGACATTAACAACATCTTCTCCTTTGGTGCATACAGCTCAATGTCTCTTAATTAATGAGGAAAACACTTAATGTCCATAAAATCCAAAATATTAGGCGATCGTTTCATATTTTCAGATTGATGTGGGCACCGGTAGAGAGAGGGGTATGAATTTTGATTGTTTGTTGTTTTCTTACATAAACGACCTTAAGCTCTTCTCTGTAGTGAACATCACTTGGGAGGAAAGGGCTTCATGTCCATAAAATCCAAAATACGGTGGCGATTGTTTCGATATTACCAAATGTTGAAGTGGACAAGTAGAGCTGTGCATGTGGATTTTGGTGACAGTTCATACCAGATTTCTGACATTCAGCGACACTGAGCCTTTTCGCATGTACATTAAGCGTTTTAGACTGTCCCCATACCATATACTACTGTACTTTTCTGACAGAGTCCAAGTACCCGTACTTACAATTGAGTACTCGCTGATGCCAAGTGCTCATGCTATGATGCTTGATAGTGACTTTATGTCTTGTCATTGAGATCTGACATGGCATAACTTTGACTTCAACATAACGCTTTTCATGATGACTTGTCATGACTGACATTTTAACATCCAATTGCAAGTTCTTCTCACGGACTTGACACATGATTCACTTTCAGGTAGCCTGTAATGCTGTTCAGCTATCAAGTAAAACTGTTAACAGAACAACTGAAGTGATAGTTTATGACAGCATCGCTTATGTCCTTTGACTCGACATGCTGCTTCATTATGACTTTGTGAAGGGAGTGTGGCTAAGTTGGTCAGAGCCAAACACCGTGGAGCGAGTTTCTAGTACTTGGCTCCACGCTGCTCGTCTCCGGGAGTGGCTCGTATTGTCAGTGTTGACACCGAGCCTACTGCACCTACTTGGAAGGTATATGTCAGGATGGTCATATCGGAGAATTTTCAAAAGAAGAGGGCACTTTAAAAAACAACCACCGAGTACTGTACCGAAAGTAAAATTTAATGAATATTTTTTTAATCATGAAAATGTACTTAGCTGAAAATTGGTTTAAAATGTTTTTAATTAATACATTCATGAGGGAAAATGAAAGCCCACATTAGCACCAGAATTTACCTTCATAGAACAGTTGTGTGCTAAACTTTAGAAATTGCTCTAAAAGAGGCCAATTGTGTCCTTTTTTTGTGACTGTTTAACAAACGTGGGTTCTAATGTGTGACCATTTCACAGTTATCACCCCCAAGCAACCCTTGCCACATGCAGGAAGCGGTTCACTACAAACAAACCAGTCTACTGTTGTGTAAACATTAACCTTGAAGGTCCTCTACTGACCTTGTATCAACTTTTTTTTTTCTTCCACACCTGCAGTCACCTTGGAGCAGCACATTGGCAACTTGTTCCTGTTCAGCAAAGTGGCCAACGCCATCCTCTTTTTCCGGCTGGACATTCGCCTCGGCATCCTCTACCTCGCATTGTGTGTCGGTCAGTGGCTTTGTCACAATCATCTGTAATAATCTGCCTGAGTCATTGTAGATCTTCAATTATGAAGCAAGTGTAAACCTATTTAAGGCAATTGAAGGGAGAGGATGAGAATTTAAAATATACCTCCCTCCTGACTATGAATGTAATATTTATTTTCTTTCTCCCCAGCATTTGTCATGACTTGCAAGCCTCCTCTATATGTGGGGCCCGAGTACATCAAGTACTTCAGTGACAAGACCATTGATGTGAGTTGGATGTTTCACATTAAGCATTCTGGAAATGTACTACTTTTGTTTAATCTGTTGAGAATATAACGTTTTGTTTTGTGTTTTTTTTTCTTCCAGGAGGAGCTGCAGAAAGACAGTCGTGTCACCTGGATTGTTGAATTCTACGCCAACTGGTCGTCTGACTGCCAGTCCTTCGCACCGGTCTATGCTGACCTTTCGCTCAAGTAAGAGATGACTTGTCACTCACTTCATCGGAATTAGAAAACGAAACACTGAAGTTCTAGGCTCTGCTGCTTTGAGAGGTTTGCGTGATCTTTATCTGCAGGTACAACTGTGCTGGTCTGAGGTTTGGGAAGGTGGATGTTGGGCGTTACGGAGAGGTTTCACAGAGGTAATTTCGACCAGTCATATTTTCACTTCTTTTCGATATGATGGCCAAGTGTCCCAAAAAGTTTGTTCATGGCCACTTTTATTACGGGAAATATAGAGCTCAGTTTTAAACTGGAATCTCATCCGTGGATCTCTCATTGAAATTGATGAATAAAGTCACACCATCTTGACCAGGTACAAAGTGAGCACATCCCCGCTGTCCAAGCAGCTTCCTTCACTGGTGTTATTTCAAGGTGGGCAGGAAATTATGAGGCGTCCAGCAGTAGACAGTAAAGGCCGAGCTATTTCATGGACTTTCAATGAGGTATGGCTGCATTGAGATCCATGAAGTAACACAGCTAAGAATTTACCCCACTATGCCACTAATATTGTTTTATTTCTATTGTTAGGAGAACATCATCAGAGAGTTTGATCTCAACGAGCGCTTCCAGAAGTCCAAGAAATTGAACAAGAGTCGTGCTTTGAAGGAAGAGAAGCAACAGAACTCCCATCAAGAGGAGGCAGAGCCTGATGCGGACACTCAGGAGCAAAGCTCAGAGAGCAAGAAAGACAAGTGAATATTGGGAAGTGTGGTTCGCAGATGTCCTGTATGTTTTTTTTCTTAAAATGACCTGCCTTCCAGTATTTTTTTTAATCCCTAATAATGTAGAATGCTTCAGATTTTACTAAGTGAAAAAAGTGGGTCAGTGCACTGGTCTGTTTTTGGAGTGAAGTTGATAGCCTAATTGTGGCCATGCAAAATATTAGGCAATGGTCTAGGGAAGTTTGATCAACTTATTTAAATTTTTTTTTGTAATGTTTGTTGGCTGCGTAACATTTCTCTCCTGTGTACAGTTGTGGAACTTGTGTTTACTAATGTCCCATCACTCAAAAGCAAATTAAAACATCCATAGTTAAACTTGTCACACTTTACGTTTCATCAATTTGACCTTTTATTCTGAGAAGACATCTTCAAAAAATCTTGATAAGGCCATTTTGGAAAAGTCTTACATGTGTTACAGGTATTTGTGAAACTTGTTCCAATCCCACATGAGCAATATTTATTCTCACAAGTATTGTCAACATACTGTACTCACACAGGTTTGAATTGTTCAGCGGGAGGAAAGTAACACAGGTTTGCTAATCTCTTTTTCAGCTACTTGTGCCATTTCTGTTGACTCAATTGTGATCCTGGGGAAGGGGTCCCAAAAAAAGTTACATTTGCACACAGGGGAAACAATCAGCATGAACAAGAATCACATGCATGATGAAGACACGGCCTGGCAGAAGAGAAAATGTCAAACAGTCCCCGTTAAAGAAAAAGTAAATTTTTCCCAAAGACATGCTAAATTTAATCAAATCCTTGATTGGGTAAAAAAAATATATATATATTTTTTAATTATGCCCAATTGGAACATATATGAACAGACAAAACCCGTCTTTTTTTTCCCCTCAATGTGGTTGTCACTATTGAATATTTTTAGAATCTTATCAATGTAGCAAATACAATTTTATTTTGGAATTAAAATGTACTATAAACCAATTTTTCACACACAAGAGGGGCACTGATGTACTCACCAATCTTTTTGAAATCGCTTCAGGTATTTGTTCGGTCATTGCTTTCCAAAGTAAAAGCAGATGCTTCTTTTGATTAAACGTGATAACCATTCTGCTTTCATGTAGGGCTACAGATATCACAGAAACATTACTGTTGGCAGGATGAAATCTGAGGATTTGAAAAATACCAAGTTAAGCAATGGCTGTAAATGATTACAAATGTTCAAACGGTTTGATTAATGATGAAACCTCTTGGCTGTTTTTGCTGGGTTTTCAAGTCACTTGTACCTAGTAGACATGTCTGAATGTGAAGCCCCCCCCCCCAAAAAAAAAGACCTGCAATACACAATGTCAGGAGAAGTTAAATATATCAACAGTAAAAAAACAAAAATGTGCTTTGCCCTTATAAATGGTTTTAAGAAAAAAAAAATCAAGATTCATTGCAAACCAGACCTGCATGATAACAGGCACTGTATATTCTAGTGATGCACCGAAATTAAAATTCTCAGCAGAAACCAAATATGAGGAAACCAAGGCAGAAAACTGAAACATCAAATGAATTATATCTTAAAAACCACGGGGAAAACATCCTCCACTGAACATATTCTACACTTTGCTAACTTTGTCTAGTGCAAGCTCCCGGGTTCCTATACTGTAGTCCATATCTCACGGAGCGGTGAAGTTTTGCAAGTGTGCACGCACGTAGCGAATGTTTTTTTTTTTGTCAGGTTTCATTCAATGTTGTTAAGAGTTGCAAAAACGAGTGCAGCGAACTACTTATTTTTAACTAGCTTGTAGGTGTACTGTTTTGAGCCCGTATCTCACTGAGCAGAGTGGGTTTGCGAGTATGTGCGCACGTAGTGAGTTACAGTATTTTTTCGTGAGGGTTCGTTCAAGGTCGCAAATTCGTGCGGCAGATTTAATGGTTGCAAACAGTTTTTCTTCTTGCCATCAAATTTTCAACATGTTCAAAATTAAATTGCAAAACTGGGCGAACATATTTGCAACCGATTGTGACCTTGAATGAACCCTGATGAAAGAATAACATTCGCTACGTGCGCAAACTCTCGCCGCTCGTTCAGATGAGTGCATTAGAACAGTACGACAGCAGGCTTGTTAAAAATAAGCAGCTTTCTGAGGCTAGCATAAAAGGTCAAGTTGATGCTTCATAAAGTACAAGAACTTTACAAAGTCAGAGTGATGCGAACAAATTCACGGCCACCATAGAGGCAGTCCTCGGTGGCCAACCAAGGTGCACCGTGAGCGGCCACGACAGTGATGCGCCACATACTTTGTCTGTTTTTTTTTTTGTTGGCCCTAAGCTAGGGGTGCCCAACCTTTTTTGATCAAATATCTATTTTTCAAGCAGCCAACCACCCGTGATCAATCCATTATCACGTGTGCGTACACGCACGCACGATGAGCAACATCCAAGATATGAACGAAACAGAGAAATAAAGTAGCTCCAATGGTTTGTGAAAGGGAAATCACTGCCTAACTTAATGGGAGACCTGACACAGAGGCAGGGGCAGGGGTGCACTTTTGCAGTGTGTTAAGGACAGAAACATCACTATCATAGCTCGCTTGTACTGTAAAATGTTTCCCCTGGCGCTCCAGATTTTCGTTCTTTGCCAATCAGTGAATTGCAGATGAAACAAAGTTTGAATAAGAATGAACAAAAAAATACATGTCTCAAAGGCTCTGATCACTAGATGTAATTGCAGACTGGTTGACACTCCCGTCTTCGGTCTAATGTTATCAGGCAGAGCTGTCAAATTCACTTCCAGAACAATTTGTTTGGCTTGGGCCTCCAAATGACTAGCAAATGACATACAGTACATACGTTGCGGTAAAACGCTTCGATTCGGCACCCATGACATTGTCTGCTCAGCCAGCAGCGGCTGGGCGGCAGATTCTCTAGATTCCCTCGCTCGGTGTTGAATTGAAGCATTTTACAAAATGGAGGGAAAACCCCTCGGTGAAGGTGACCACTCTGAACGCATATGAAATGTGAGAAAAACACAACAAAACGAGCGTGTCTGGTGTGTTGTCAAATATCGCAATTATCTACCAACTACTTTTGCTGGTTTTCAACCCCGATTTTTTAAAAAAACTCAGAATAACCAATATTACGGCCTTCACGATGAGTGTTTCCGTAACATAATACGGATGATCCCTAACATTTGAGAAAGCATGGCAGTGAAGAAGAGCAGTGAGATGAGACTGCCTAGCCTGCCCAGAATGCTTACTTGACGGGTTTTTGCATGAACAACATCCTATTTTGATTGTGTTGTTTGTCTAATTTTTGGGCCATTTTTGGTCAACCATTTTCGGTGCATCCCTAGTATATTGCATTCTTTAAAATGTATCCAAACTTCGAAAACAACTGGTTTGACGTGTTTTGCTCTGAACTATGTTTTCTTTTTCTGTTTTGGTGAAATAAATAAGCCCGTCCCTTGCTGCCCCGAATTGGCTGGTCATCCATGGAAAGGATCAAAACAGTTCAGCAAGCATCCGAAACAAGACAGACGATGACCTTAAAGCTACAAAACTGATTTTGCATAACGCCTCAAGCACAAAAACATTACACAGGTACATTCAACGAAGATGCGTTCCACTCCACATTTTTCTGTGGCTTTTGAAAATAAAGCTCAATTGTTTGCCACGTCCGAGGTCGACTCTTTGAATCACGACAATTTCGGCAAGAGCTCACGAGTGGCTGATGCAGCCGTCAATTATAAACAGGCAACACATTTGTAATGAAAAATAAACAATTATACACATTATACATTTGCCACCCTCATCGATAAGTCATCTTCACCGCCTGACGAAAGGACCCATTCATAATTTGTAAGATCTTAAACATTTATATAAAAAGCATATTTAAAAACGAGGATTTATAAAACTAAAATGATACTGTGTTTTATAGGTTGGATGCTCTCAATGCTTTTCACTCGACAGGATGTGTGGTCCATAAACAAGACGATCCTCGTTGGTCAACACTCAGATGTCCTCCTCAAAATTCAATCGGCCACACGCAAGTGTCAAAAATACTGTGTCCTAATGTAATCACGTCAAACCGTATGCGTGCATGTTCTGTCCTTGGAGAAAGAGCCTCCAAACGGTCTGTGCCTGTAAAACAAGAGCCATGTGGGGTCTTTGTCCGGATTGAAAAGGCCAGTCGGAAGCGGCAGGCAGGTGCGCTCACAGCCGTGGCTTTAGGCTCAGCGGTCGTAAATAATATCCAGCTCAAAGAAGAGACAAGTGGGAGTTGTCCAGTGACTTTTTTTCCCCTCCTACTCAGTGGAATAGACCGTTTATCGCTCAAACCGATATCTCGTAAGTGGTCCCTCCGACACCGGTCACCTTCTTCACTCCGCCCCCTGGTTTAGATGTGGTGTGATTGGCCAAGACTGTGCGAGAGGTTGATCTGGATGGAGGGCAATTGGGAGGGGGGAGGATGACAAATAGAGGTGAGAGGTGTTATTTTCAAAATCACATCAAGTAGACAAAAACTCTAAGGCTGAGTTCGGAATCATTCGCTCATTCCCGAGTCACTATAAAGGGATCTTTTGTGCGGTGGACTATATAGTTCACCTACCAGCCAAATGAAAAATAGTTTTGAGAACACTACTCAGGAGTGACGTAATTGCATGATTGTTGTGACGTACAACTAATAGACTTTCCATAAAAAATTTTGAACGAATTAATACATTACAATAACATTCAATTGTTTTTCAAGATGAAGACAGTTTACAAAATGACTACAAATAAAGCAACTGCACTTAAACATTTGCATGATAGCTGCCCATGGTATCCTTTTTTTCTGTTTCAGCGCAATGCATCATGGGATACAGTCAAAGTACAGTTTATTGCTTTTCTGGTGACTTTTTTTTCGTACTTTTCAAGATACACGGAAGTCGCTATACGGGGGATAATATACTCACTACACAGTCTAACTGCGCTACAAAATGGCGGACTTAATTCAGACAGCACTATGTAATGCAGTCATTTTCAAAGAGAGTAATTGACTCTGCAATGTTACATCGGCTTGGTTTTATTTTTTTGGGAGTAAATTTGCTCAATACAGCTCAGTTGTATTTAGCTTGTACAATGCTTTTGCATTTAATCTTTTAGAACTGTTTGTTTTCAAACAATTATTGAAATATTTTTTTAATTGACTTACATGCAATGAATTTTTCTAGATTTACATGTGAGCGCAGTGTTAATGTTCAAATGTTGCATAGTTTTACAGTGGTTTAATATTAAATCTACCTTTTAGGAATAAACCGCAGCTATGCTTTTTTTATTTACACTTGGGCCTGTCAGCTACATATGAGCCTAGATTTTCATGTTGATTAATTATCTGGAGAACCAAGTATTTTTGAACTTTGTGTAAAAACTTTGGGTACCACATACAGGGCATAGGGAAATCAGCGTTCGATTCCGAAGACAGCTTAAGGTTTCTCTCTTATTAAACTTCCTATAGGGTTCAAATGGGACGACAAAAGAAAAAGGCTACTGGATGAAAACAACCGCATGCCGGCATGCTCCTTACACTAATTGTCTGTCTGGAAACTAAAGAAGGAAAAGGAAGACTCACACAGATCAGGGAAGAAGAGGATGGCTGACACATAGTAGGGAGGAAGAAAAGGCCGATTAGGAAGAAAGTGAAAAGGAAGAGGAGCAGGCTAAGCGTGACGACGACGACGTAGCTTTACTCACTGTGGAGCCTGATGCCCTCCTCCAACTCCTCCCCCTCCCAGTACCACTGTGGCCCGAAGCTTGTGCTGGGGCCCCGCCTCCCCAGTGTAAGACTGGGACTTGCCCAGGGAGAGGCCGCGAGGCGGCGGGGAGACAGGAGGCTCTGGCGAGCGAGCCCCCGGAGAGGAGGACGACGACACAGAGTTACGGGGAACTCTGGAGGAGGAGGAGGAGGAGTCGTGGTTATGCTGTAGCAGGTGCAGCATCTCGGGAGGCCCGGAGAGAGGGGGCGGGCTGACGGCACGCAGGTAGGCTCTGTGGGGGGAGGAGAAAGTGGCGGAGCCCTGGAGCAGATGGCCCTCCCTCTGCTGGCTGAGCTGAGCTGAGAGGAAGGGCGACGTATAGCCCTGCAGCGGAGAATTGGGGGACACCGCTTCAGGCTGGCCTCTGACCGCAACCCCGGTCGCGGAGGGGAACGGGGCGCGAGGTTTCTGCGGCGACAACTCGTGGGCGGCAGACTCAAACTCTGGGCTATCGGATGGCGTGAGTAGGCTGTCGTAGGACAGACTGCCGTTCCGAGGGGTCTGGTTAGCCAGACTTTTGTAGCTGGTGTCTGTGGTACCTTCTGACTGAAGGGTGGCCAGAGGATTGTGTGCCATGTGCGCCGAGCGCAGGCTGGAGGAGTGGGACCCCCCAGTGGACAGAACCAGAGAGGATGGGTACGAGGTGTGGGAGCGCCCGGTCAGGGTGTAGCCCGACATGCCCCCCGAGACCCCACCGACAGTCCTGCATAAGCCTCCGGGGCCCTCACCCCTCTCCCCTCCCCCTCTGAACGCCCCCGCACCACCCACCACCACTGTGGCCCCGTCCAGGCTGCTCGGTTCCGAACGGTAACTGGGATGGCGGCTGGAGTGAAGAATAGAGGGAGACGGAGAGTCGAGACTCTCCCCGCGAATCACCTGAAGAGAGCAGAGAGGAGGAGAGACAGATATAGAGACAGTCGGGGGAGGTGTACACAGGAGAGAAGGGGAGGGACCGTGATGAGCATGGCGGGATGAAGAAAGACCAAGAAGTCGCCATGTTACCACAGGAAAATTTGCAGAGGCAGCACAGAAACACAGGTCATCCGACAGATTCCAACAGGAATAAAAGAGGGGTGGTGGACGGGTTGGGTGGGGATGCTTAATCTGTGCTCTACTCCATCATCACACTACTGCATTGGAAACATTGACTGGTTTGAACAGGCACTGACGCTGCATGTCAAAGACAGAAATGGAAATACACAGTATGTCGAATACGCATTCCAGTCAATGCACTTTGGGGGGGAAGGGCAAGATCCACTCCAACATACAGACTGGCAAAGGGAAACACACATGACACTTGCTGAGGACTTACTGATCAACCGATGGCCACTGAACGAACAATTTCAAGTAAAAACAAAAAAAAAAAAAAGAGGGGCTTGGTGTTAACCACAAAGGACATCAGAGAGAGGATGGCGTAATAGTTTCCAAAGCATTTGGGAATACATCAGAAGTAGGAGGTAAATGCAGGGGAGCTAGGTTTCCCTTATCCAAGTTTTTCCAAGTTCTGATTTAACTCCTTCAAGCAGACAGGCTGCAGTGCAGCACATTTAGACCGTATTTGCAATCTTACACCATTCTTGTGATACAGTATGAACATGTCTTATAGTACCTTGCCGGCATGTGTGTGGACATTGTGGTTCCTTCCTGGGCTGTTGTATGCAGGTCGATACTTGTACACAGACTGTGGTGGCACTCCTTCTGTCAACAAGCTGCTTTCTACAATTCAGAAAAGAAGGGAGCATGTGATTAGGTAAGAAAACAACCTCAACATGGATACAGTGTGTGTGTGTGTGTGTGTGTGTGTGTGTGTGTGTGTGTGTGTGTGTGTGTGTGTGCGTGTGTGCCAGTGATGTGTTCCTCTAGCCGGTCCTTGGCCTCGAGGACCGGCTCGAGGACCGAAGGTCGGTCCTTGGTCCTTGGCCTTGGCCTCGGAGGCAAGTCCTTGGCCTTGGCCTTGGCCTCGGAGGCAAGTCCTTGGCCTTGGCCTTGGCCTCGGAGGCAAGTCCTTGGCCTTGGCCTTGGCCTCGGAGGCAAGTCCTTGGCCTTGGCCTTGGCCTCGGAGGCAAGTCCTTGGCCTTGGCCTTGGCCTCGGAGGCAAGTCCTTGGCCTTGGCCTTGGCCTCGGAGGCAAGTCCTTGGCCTTGGCCTTGGCCTCGGAGGCAAGTCCTTGGCCTTGGCCTTGGCCTCGGAGGCAAGTCCTTGGCCTTGGCCTTGGCCTCGGAGGCAAGTCCTTGGCCTTGGCCTTGGCCTCGGAGGCAAGTCCTTGGCCTTGGCCTTGGCCTCGGAGGCAAGTCCTTGGCCTTGGCCTTGGCCTCGGAGGCAAGTCCTTGGCCTTGGCCTTGGCCTCGGAGGCAAGTCCTTGGCCTTGGCCTTGGCCTCGGAGGCAAGTCCTTGGCCTTGGCCTTGGCCTCGGAGGCAAGTCCTTGGCCTTGGCCTTGGCCTCGGAGGCAAGTCCTTGGCCTTGGCCTTGGCCTCGGAGGCAAGTCCTTGGCCTTGGCCTTGGCCTCGGAGGCAAGTCCTTGGCCTTGGCCTTGGCCTCGGAGGCAAGTCCTTGGCCTTGGCCTTGGCCTCGGAGGCAAGTCCTTGGCCTTGGCCTTGGCCTCGGAGGCAAGTCCTTGGCCTTGGCCTTGGCCTCGGAGGCAAGTCCTTGGCCTTGGCCTTGGCCTCGGAGGCAAGTCCTTGGCCTTGGCCTTGGCCTCGGAGGCAAGTCCTTGGCCTTGGCCTTGGCCTCGGAGGCAAGTCCTTGGCCTTGGCCTTGGCCTCGGAGGCAAGTCCTTGGCCTTGGCCTTGGCCTCGGAGGCAAGTCCTTGGCCTTGGCCTTGGCCTCGGAGGCAAGTCCTTGGCCTTGGCCTTGGCCTCGGAGGCAAGTCCTTGGCCTTGGCCTTGGCCTCGGAGGCAAGTCCTTGGCCTTGGCCTTGGCCTCGGAGGCAAGTCCTTGGCCTTGGCCTTGGCCTCGGAGGCAAGTCCTTGGCCTTGGCCTTGGCCTCGGAGGCAAGTCCTTGGCCTTGGCCTTGGCCTCGGAGGCAAGTCCTTGGCCTTGGCCTTGGCCTCGGAGGCAAGTCCTTGGCCTTGGCCTTGGCCTCGGAGGCAAGTCCTTGGCCTTGGCCTTGGCCTCGGAGGCAAGTCCTTGGCCTTGGCCTTGGCCTCGGAGGCAAGTCCTTGGCCTTGGCCTTGGCCTCGGAGGCAAGTCCTTGGCCTTGGCCTTGGCCTCGGAGGCAAGTCCTTGGCCTTGGCCTTGGCCTCGGAGGCAAGTCCTTGGCCTTGGCCTTGGCCTCGGAGGCAAGTCCTTGGCCTTGGCCTTGGCCTCGGAGGCAAGTCCTTGGCCTTGGCCTTGGCCTCGGAGGCAAGTCCTTGGCCTTGGCCTTGGCCTCGGAGGCAAGTCCTTGGCCTTGGCCTTGGCCTCGGAGGCAAGTCCTTGGCCTTGGCCTTGGCCTCGGAGGCAAGTCCTTGGCCTTGGCCTTGGCCTCGGAGGCAAGTCCTTGGCCTTGGCCTTGGCCTCGGAGGCAAGTCCTTGGCCTTGGCCTTGGCCTCGGAGGCAAGTCCTTGGCCTTGGCCTTGGCCTCGGAGGCAAGTCCTTGGCCTTGGCCTTGGCCTCGGAGGCAAGTCCTTGGCCTTGGCCTTGGCCTCGGAGGCAAGTCCTTGGCCTTGGCCTTGGCCTCGGAGGCAAGTCCTTGGCCTTGGCCTTGGCCTCGGAGGCAAGTCCTTGGCCTTGGCCTTGGCCTCGGAGGCAAGTCCTTGGCCTTGGCCTTGGCCTCGGAGGCAAGTCCTTGGCCTTGGCCTTGGCCTCGGAGGCAAGTCCTTGGCCTTGGCCTTGGCCTCGGAGGCAAGTCCTTGGCCTTGGCCTTGGCCTCGGAGGCAAGTCCTTGGCCTTGGCCTTGGCCTCGGAGGCAAGTCCTTGGCCTTGGCCTTGGCCTCGGAGGCAAGTCCTTGGCCTTGGCCTTGGCCTCGGAGGCAAGTCCTTGGCCTTGGCCTTGGCCTCGGAGGCAAGTCCTTGGCCTTGGCCTTGGCCTCGGAGGCAAGTCCTTGGCCTTGGCCTTGGCCTCGGAGGCAAGTCCTTGGCCTTGGCCTTGGCCTCGGAGGCAAGTCCTTGGCCTTGGCCTTGGCCTCGGAGGCAAGTCCTTGGCCTTGGCCTTGGCCTCGGAGGCAAGTCCTTGGCCTTGGCCTTGGCCTCGGAGGCAAGTCCTTGGCCTTGGCCTTGGCCTCGGAGGCAAGTCCTTGGCCTTGGCCTTGGCCTCGGAGGCAAGTCCTTGGCCTTGGCCTTGGCCTCGGAGGCAAGTCCTTGGCCTTGGCCTTGGCCTCGGAGGCAAGTCCTTGGCCTTGGCCTTGGCCTCGGAGGCAAGTCCTTGGCCTTGGCCTTGGCCTCGGAGGCAAGTCCTTGGCCTTGGCCTTGGCCTCGGAGGCAAGTCCTTGGCCTTGGCCTTGGCCTCGGGTTGCCGGTCCTTGGACACAACACTGGTGTGTGCGTGTGTGCATGTGTGCGTGTGTGCGTATCCTACCCTCAGCGTCACCATGAGGCAGCCCAGGGTAACGAAGTTCTGGCTTCGGGGGAGGTGGAGGTTCTGTGTCTGCTGACTGGCTCTCCATTTGATCCAAGCTGCTCTTTGACTAAAATGACAACCACAAGGACCATCATGCTGAAAATTAAACTGGAAGTTCTACCTCAAAACTGGATTTTGCCACTTTTCAGTGTACATAAAAAACAGTGAACCACTGCTATTTGCATGTGATAGGGCCCAAGCTCTGCACCATTAGCAAAATGGTTACGGCTCATCAGTACCGGTTTTTCATTTTGGTTGATGTTAATAATCTTTTCTTTTTACTATTCAAAATAAGGACCCGGGCAAAAAAAAAAAAAAAAAAGCTGAATTTATGTAATTTTAGCATATAATATTTTATCTTTAATAAGAGTGCAACGTAACTATGAAAGAGTTAACTAAACTGGTCAATATAAAGATTAAATAAACACCTTTCTTAAATAAACTTAAACTTTCTTGTATATGCTTAGTTGGGCTGGGCGATATGGTTGAAAAATGTTTCACAATTTAAGTACAGTATTGCATTTCAGTCAATATTGATAATTACAGTTTTTTTTTTGTGACCTAGTTAAGCTCCACTTTCATTCAGCGCACGGATGCCACACGCTCTCACGGGTGCGGCTGTGCGCTTCATCGGTGGTTCGGTAGACAAGGTTCACAAAAATGGTTTTTGTGCACTCAAAACGCTTCTGTACCCGAAATTTCCTCTGAGGGGCTTGTGATCTAACGTCATGCTGAAGCCTGTGCTCTCCAGCCCTCCCCAAAAAATAAATAAATAAATAAATTAAAAATAAATAAATAAATAAAATAAAATAAAATAAAAAAAAAAGAGGAAACGTTTTGTAACCTGTTTTTCAATAAATAGAATAGCACCAAACAATTAAAGATAGAGTAATAATATCATTCAATAGAATGTAAAGAATTAAACAGTTTGAGAATGATTTCATGCAATAATTCAATGGCCATTGTGTCTCTGGTGCTCTGTGCTCTCGCAACGGTAACCCTGACTTCAGTCGGGCAGGAGGTGGGGGACACCCTGAAATGGTTGCCAGCCAATCACGTGGCACACACAGGCAAACAACCATTTACACTCACAATCATACCTCGGGACAAGTTAGGGTATTCAATTAACCTACCATGAATATTTTTGGAATGGAGGAGGTAACGTGAGTATCCGGAGAAAACCCACACAAGCACAGGGAAAACATGCAAACACAGGAAGGCCGGAGCTCGGATTCGCACCCTGGACCTCTGCACTGTGTGGCAGATGTGCGAACCAGACGACCAAATGAAAAAGCTGGTGGCACCATTGCTACCAGCCCAAAAGTTAATGTAGAGCCTTGTGGAATGGCTAAAAGCAGAGTTTTTTTTGTTTTGTTTGCAGTACAATGCCATAGCTATTAATGTAAGAACTTGCAAAGTGATTTTGGTTATGATCAAGAAAAATCTTTGGAAAATGTCTTGATCAGCTCTTTAATTAAACTATTATGAGCTGGTTTTGTTGTCATTAATATATTGGTCCAAACAAATGTACTTGGTCAAAAACCATCAGATGGCATAACAGTTTTTGCCGTCGATGTTATAAGCTCTTTGTATTATGGTACGGCTCAATTCAAGATGGTTTGATGCAATGACTTTTTTTGTCATTTTACATACATTTGAACTTGTACTTATTAGTACTGGAAATGTGCCATTTCCTTCTAAGATATATATGTCCAATAAAAAAATGATTCGATGTGTATACAGATATTTTTTAAGTGGAAAGTGGAAGACTCATTTTCAACCAAAAACGAGTTTCTGATTCAAATTTGTTTTTTTCACACCCCTAACACAGAATCATACAAAAGGACCAGGGGAAAAAAGGCTGAAGATAAACAGAAATGGGAAAAAAAGAACAACAGAACCAACCACGTCTCTCACCCACTCTACCCTGTGACTTTTGCCTACGACTATTCCACCATAGGCTGGGCCTTCAAAGTCACACCCGACTTCGACAGCGCCCACAGATAGCAACGTTCTAACCGCAGACAAAACTAATGTGCGGACTTGCGCTGGAGTCAACTGGTTTGGCAGTAAACTTTCAATGGGAGAGGCAGTAAACAGCTTGAAGCAACCATTTGGCTTTTTTGAAGGGTTGAAGAACTGCTTGTTTTTGAAGTGTGTCATTATCTCAGCACTCGTATATTTTTGCTCACAAGTCAAAAGACGGGGAGGGAGGAGGGGAAAAAATGGCGAAGCAACAGCTCGTATCTGAAAAAAAACTCACCTCGGTCACTCGTAAATCGAGATAGTTGTACCACTAATATACATACATGGCAATGGCGAGTGATTGCAAAAGCGGAAGGGGCGTGGCCTGGACGGGGCGTGGCCTGGACGGGGGCGTGGTTATTTACAAAAGTGGCACTAAACATGCTGAAGATGAAGTGTATTAAATTTACACAGTTTTAAAATTGAACAGAAAAAAATCCCAAGATCGCCACTATTCTTTCAAGTGAAAATTTGTGCAATTTTGCCTATGCATTCCTGGTGAGCACCAATATGTAACTCCAAATTTGCTGCTAAAAATAAAAACAAAAAAA